CCCCCCCCCCATCTGGACAAGAGCGATAAGACCCACCTGGACAAGATCAACAAGAACGGAAGCTAAGACCCCAAACAGCTACCTCCCCGGCCACATCCACGCCTTCTACCTGGAGTACGTCTACTACCGGAACTCCGATGCGGTGGCGCCCCGCCGCGCGCCGGGGGTGTATTCGGAGCGGATTCAGCGGGGGGCGGCGCATCATCATCATCACTCCCAGCAGCAGCAGCAGCAGCAGGCAGGGTATGGGACTATTTAGTTTGCTTGGATTGCGGGGAGGGTAGTGTAGCCTGGTCTGGTCTGGTCTGCTGGTTGTGGATGTAGATGGGGAGTATGAATCATGCATGATGTTTTTTGTTTTTATTCTTTGGGTGAATCACCCTCACGACCGATTGAGCCTAAGGAATGGACTGAGATTGATTAGCGCTTGTCCTTATACTTACTTATTATCACCCGTTGCGTTGATCCATGATTCAAAGTTCAGGGTTAATATGATTAATGAATCCTTTATATTGAACTGAATTACCGTAAACCCACAACCCCACCCCAAACACCCCACCCCTAAACAACCTTCTTCCCCTGCTGCTGCTGCTGCGCAGCAGCAGCAGCACCCACCTTCCTCAACGCCGGCAAATCAAACGCAGGACTAGCCCCAACACCCCCCATCGTCCGGGGCACACTGCCCGACCCGGGACTCCACCACAGCGCGCCGACCCACGGCTGCACATTCCATCCGACGGCCAGCGTGACGTTCTCGCGCTCGGCCATTCTGCCCGAAACATCCCCGATCTGGTACTTGGCCTTCTGGTCGCGCAGCCGCAGGATGCCCGGCGCCGCCGCTGTGCCCTTCGCTGCTTTTCCGGCCGTCTTCTTGCTGCTCGCCGGCGCCTTGCGGCCGGCCGTGCTTTTACCGCCACTTTTGCGCTTGGCGGCCGACGCAGGAGGGAAGAAGCGCTCCTTCAGCGCGGCAAACGAGTACGCCGACTCCGGGGCGGAGAGGATGGTGTCCCAGACGACGGCGTGGGAGACGGCGGACGAGGAGGCGTTGGTCGGGTCGGACGGGTAGGCGGCGTAGACGTAGACGAAGAGTTGTTTGGTGTTCCAGTTGAAGAGGGGGGTGAGATCTGCCGGGGCGTCGTCAAAATTAGTTCGTTACCCACCGCTAGCCACGACTGGCAGACTGAAGTAGAAAGAAAGGGGGGGGGGGGGGGGGGAACACGCACCAGCATCCAGATCAAAGCGCAGCTGCGCGTACTCTTCCTTCCGCGTCGAGTAGTAATGCGGGCGCCCTTTTATTCTGCGAGACAGAAGTTAGCTTCGCTGTCCGCGGATGTAGAAGGCGTAAGAGCTGGCTAGCTCTAGCCTCGGGTTTGGGCTGGGCGACATACACCTTGACATCCCGCAGCTGGACCTGCGACGTGACCCCGTCCGTCGGATACAGCAGCACAGACAGCGCGGCCAGCCCGGCGACGACGAGCGCGACGGTGGTGAAGAAGCCGAAGACGGCTTGGGCGCGGTTGAGGGTGGAGTGCATTATCTCAGGGCGAGCATGTGAGATAGGAAGATGGAGGAACAGGTCCCTAGAAGGGAGAGGAAAACAATCCGAATGGGATTGCAGTGGGCGTGGCAGAGTAGATCACAAATGTTGTTGACAGTACTCCGAAATGATGATGATGATGATGATGAAGCCACCTGGGCCTTTTCTCCACGGGAGAGTGTGGCTGGTGAGCACTGAGCAGGGACCGGATCTGAATGGGGTTTAGTGCGGAGATTAGACTCGTGGCTGATCCTTATCGTATCGATAAGCCTGTTCCAGTTGAGCCTAGGTTAACTAGTTATCTGTATAGTTAGAGCCCTACGGAGTAGCTACCAGTAGTCAATCAACCCCTCCTTCCGTTCCATCTTCCCCCCATTTCACCTCTCGCTCAACGTCTCACCACCCTCAATCCTAAGAACTAGATATCCCGTCCCCGGGGAGAACCCCCGGACCCCCCTTCTTTTCAACTTCCTGGTAACACCCGATCCTAAACAGTACACCATACCTATCAGCTACACTACCACCACCACCTCTACCACCAATAACTACCAATACAACACAACATAAAGTACCACCAATACAATACTACAACCACCACCACCACACCAACCCAAAAATGGGCGACAACACCCTCTTCTTCTACGGTCCGTCCCCCCCTCACAACCCAAGACCCCCCAACTGAGAGCTAAGCAAAGGAAAAAAAAAAAAGGAACCCTAATGTCCCCCCAAATCCTGCACCGCGTCATCCACGGCCGCCCCGACCCCGAACCCTGGCAAAAAGCATACCTGACCATCCAGCCCGCCGTCCTCCACCACTACCGGCGGCACCGGGTGCGGCACGCCGATTATCCCGGGATCGTGGCGGTGTCTGTCCCTACCACTACCCCTCGGGTTTCTTCGGGGACTGACCCAGAGGAAGGTGGGGAGGGAGCTGGCAGCAAGGAAGATTTGGCAGAGTCACTCCCCAGGACCGGGGCTAAAGCAGCAGCAGCAGCAGAAGCAAACTCAGCCGCCGTGCGGGGGACGTTGGTGACCGGGTTGACCGAGGGGGATGTGTATCGATTGGATTTGTTTGAGGGGGAGGAGTATACGAAAGTCAAGGTTAGGGTTCAAGTTATGGGGGAGGGGGAGGTAAAGGGAGGGGAGGAGGAGGAGGGCGTGCGGGGGGGACTGGAGACGGCTGCCTCGGGCCCTGACGGGGCAGAGACCCAAAAAGAGGTCGAGACGCTGACGTACGTTTGGACGGCCGGGAGGGAGCGGTTGGAGGAGGCCGAGTGGGATTTCGAGGCCTTCAAGCGGGATAAGATGGCTTGGTGGGTCGAGGCCGATGAGCGCGATTGGTGACTACCTTGCATCAGACTAGACTTTAGACAAGATAGAGAAGTCGATCTAGGTCGGCGTCTTCATGTTCGAACCATAATCATCATAAGTCATATACACTCCAAACACGCAAACAAAGCCTCTACCCCCCAAACCCCCACCCCACATCGCACACAAATGCAAGCAAGCTTGGTATCTGGTATCTATGCTACTGCTAAATGTATCCCCACAATGTCCCGAAACGCCAGTGAGATCGAAATGCAAGATCAAAACAACAAAAGGAAATTCCAGATATATGCTAATCGGCAACATGCAGTCCTCAAAGATCCGATGCTATCAGCAACCGCACTCTTCATCGTTTGTTGGATGGACTGTCTTTGACATGCAGTTCATCGTTTCTTAGACGGACTGTCTTTGACAAGCAACGACTTCGAAGGTGTCCCGGGCACCTGGGTCTCAACAACCGTGTCTGGCACGCCCCCGCCGTCCTTGTTAGACTTCCTGCTATCAGACTCCGTGGCCGCGGCAGACAGATGGAGCGGTGTATAGGTCTTGCTGACCGGCGACCTAACCTTGGCCGGCGACGGAACCGGGGTCAACGGCCTCGCGGTCTCCGACTTGGCCTTCAAGGATGCGGCCGGCTCTTGACTGTCCGGCACCTCGATGACCTCTTGATGAGCCGGGTGCGGGTCAGACGGCCCCGCCTCGTCCTTCGTAGATGTCACCAGACGAACTTCGTCGACCGCCTCCTGCTCTTCGTGACCCTTCACTCCAGCCGCCTCATCCTTATGTTCGCTACCCTGAGCATTCTCCTTTGAGGAGGCCGGAGCCACACGAGCTTTCGTCGGTGACTCTGGATCTGGCTGTTGCTCAGGCGCTCGGGACGGTGACTTCATAGGCTGTTTTCCAGTTTCTTTCACAGGCGACTCCGTCTTCATATCACGCTGCGCTTCCGGCGATGCCCAAGGCGACCCCAACAGATAACAGATCGGCGTGCGATCCGCCATGGTCTCCTTGGCACTACTTTCCTGTTTGCTCATCTGCTCCTGTTCATCATACAACGCATCAAGAAACTTGCGCAGTCGTTTGCGGAGATGTCCCGACTTGAGCGGTGGCCACTCGCCGTCCTCCTTCTGGAGTATCTTCCGGATGAACGTGTCCGGGTCCTGCACGAATTTCTCCAAGTACGCCATGAGATACAACCCACAGTCGGAATAGTTGGGCTGCAGCGGAATCTTCTGAGCCGTGATACCTCGAATGGACTTCGCGTTGATCTCGACGCCTTTCTTGGACTTCGCCTCCTCGTACAGGTACTCGCGCAGGATCCGGGAGGTAGGACTGCGGGTAATGCCTAGCGAGTCGAAGGTGATGATGGTAGGCTGGGTGACGTCGAATTTGCTCGTCCGCTTCGTCGCCTGTTTTCGCGGTGCCTTGGCAGAATCCGAGGTCTTAACGGCGTCCTGTGAACAAGCTGTCTGCGACGATGGCTGCTCCGTCTGCGCTTGGGGGAAGGCTGGCATAGGAATAGACGAAACCTCCTCGCGGTCGGGCCACTCCTCCGCCGGCGTCTCCTCCTTGGAAGCATCCTTGGAAGGCTCATCGGCTAAGCTCATCGATGCCAACGAATGGCGAGTCTGTTCTTCCTTCGCAGGCTCTGCATCGGGAGCTGTCGATGTCCCTCCTTCAGCGTGAGGAACCTCAGGCGGAGGGGTTTCCGGTATCTCCTGAACCTGACTGTCTAGCCGAGCTGACGACGGCACCTGGCTGGACAATGGCTCATCGAAAACCTGCGGCTCGGCAAGGTCCTGCAGTTTCGGTAAATTGCATATGATGGCAACATACCAATGTGCATGTTCGTTGATGGGCACGACGACGAAATCGTGGTTGAAGATGTCGACATTCCTGGTCCATTTCTGCACGCCGTCGTAGTTGATGCCTTTCTTCCCCCGGGGCACATTCATGAGAGTGTCGTAGAAAAACGAATTGAAGAAATATACTCTCTTGGCCACCTCTTCGTTCGTTCGACTGAGGTGTTCCTGCAGAAAGCGGATGTAGAACTCGATGAGATTGTCGTTCAGGAACTCATCATTTTTGCGGAGGCGGTCACGGTCTTGCATGTTGACCTCGGCCTTTTTCTTCCCGAATCGTGGGTAAACAAGGGGTCTAATGAGGAGTCAGAATCACCTCGTGGCGACAGCAGAAGATCACATACTTATGCCACTTTTTCACAGGCCCATCAGACTGCGACTGGGTTGACTGGTCCGCTTCGTCCTCGTCATCACTACAGCTAGTCAGTGGACCGCGTGCCTGAAAAAACAGGGACGAAGTAAGGCTCACCTCAGGATAGTGGTCGATGGAAGGTGACGTAACATGGCTCTAGTCTGGCGATTTGACGTTGAAAGTGTAGGGGAAGTATGGGTCGTTACGGGGATCTGCACACTCAAGGCGGAGGATAGCTTGGATGCACGAGGACTGACGTCCGGTGAAGACGGGGAGGACTTGGCTGCAGAATTGGAGGGGCCGGGAAGTTCCCGCGGGGCGGTGACTGTGGGGTTTCCTCTTTCGTCTTGCAGGGAGTCTGAGAGTCGCATTCTTTTGACCGGCGACGCGGGCTTCTCAGTACTTTTCGGCGGACCTGCAGGCAGCGGTCTTTTGAGTCCATTAGGGTGTTGTTTTAGTTCTTTGTCGTGAGTGCGAAAAAGCTTCTCCATCCACTCCCTTAATGCAGTTAGTATTGTGCGTGAAACCCAACCGGGGGGATGACAATATACATACTCTTTCTGCAGCAACGGCTCGATGTTCCAACCCCTTAGGCCGTCAGAGAATCGTTCTTTCTCTTCGGCTGAAGATAGCTCTAGGTCTAGCTTCTGATCGAGCCCTTCCATCTTAGACAATGAGAGCCTGATCTTGCCACTCGGAGGAAGCCCCCCTGTAGCCTTGGTGACTTTACTCAAAGGTAGCTCAAAGCATTCTGCCGGGTCATTGTGGTTATGCAACAAGATGGCCCCTCGCTCCAGGTCTAAGAGAAGCTCAACACCCTTTGTTTGATCAGCATGCTGCTCAATAGGCCCAAAGCGGGCATAGACAACCCCAAAGGACTTTGAGTTGGAGGCTGTTTTATTAGTAGTGCGTTTCTGCTTCTTCCCCTTCAATCCGCGCTTAGTTTTGGAAGGAGTAAAGACGGTGTGTTGGATATCGGCCGGTGACGATTGTCGGTGCTCTTTCCCCAGGGCTACCTGTACTTCATTCTCGCCCTTTCCCGTAACTTTCTTACTCCGGCGCACCTCGACCGTGACTTGCAACTCGTCGTCACTGCCCTGTGACTCATATTGGCCTCTTGACCTCGTAGGCGAAGCCAGGCCGTTTCGACTGGGTGAACGAGCCAGTGCACCTTTACCAGGATTGCGATTCTGCGATGATGAAACCTCCACACCCCGGAACACCTCATGCTTGGGCGCACGCTTCGAGCCGTGAATGGAGACGCCGCCATCATCCGAGGAAGCTCGACGACGCCTCTCTGCCGCGGCATCCTCCGTAAAGCGTTCCTCGCGTGCATCGTCGGGCCGAGTCGGGGCGGGATGTTTCTTGCCGTGCTTAGCATTCCCCTTTCTGTGCTGCTGCGGGGGTTTGACGCTCTTCTCGACGCCGCGAAATTCTTCCAGGGTAAATAAGTTATTCCGCGTCTTCCTCAACTTGGCTGATCGTTGGCTCGAGGTGGGAGACATACGTGACGGGTGTGTGGTAGTGGGAGATGTGTCCAGCGCGGGGTGGGCATCGGTCTCCTTGTCGACGAGGCTGAGAATGCTTCCAGACCGTGACGGCTCCGGACCGGCGCGATGACGGGGTCGTTTGGTCGGCCTTTCATATGGATGAGCATCGTGGGGACGGGCTTCCTTCTTGCTGGCACGGACTGGTCCACTTTGTCGGGCATTCCCTGATATCCGATCCACGATCTTGAAAGGGGAACCCTTCACGTCCGAGGGAACACCAAAATCAGCAGGGTGAAATCAACGATGCGACCCATACCGTCAAGGAGGAAAGAACTCACCCCTATCTTTTTTCTCTTCGTCATAGTTTGTCCGGGGATTATGGGGACTCCATTGGGATCATCTGATCTAGATCGCAAGCATGTATAAGCCCTATACCAATCCACACATTGACCATCAAGCCTGCGCGTACCGTGAGTTGCCGGGGAAGAGTCTTATTTCGTCTGGTAAGGTTGCTTGATTGTTGTGTTGGGGACGAATGGGCTTGTCATCGGGTCTGGATGTATCTTGCGGCATTAGCCAGTTGTTCCGCATGTGCGGATATACCGAGAATATGTGGGCTGCTGCTTGTACTTACGAACGAACCATCCTCCGCGGAGAAGAGAAAAAAAAACGGGTCTTTGGTTGCTATAAATTCAAAACGCACGGCCGAGGCCTTCTCAATACTCAAACCCCGCAGAAAAAAATCACAATGATGCAACGGACGTCTGAGTCCGTCAATTGGAGCGGAAAGTCGCATCGGATAGCGGAAGGCAGATTGGAGGCAGATCGAAAAGAACAGCACCGGATATGAGGTTCGGCTGTCAGTGGGCCAGGCGGCGGGGGATTAATTTAAAAAGAGATCTCAAGTAGCAGGACACCTTCCCAGCGATGGTCATTGCGCGACCGAGCGGTTACAAAGAGCTTTCATAACTCTGTCTTAAACTGCTGCTGCAGCAGGACGAAGAGGGGAGTTTGAATTGACTGACAAGAAGCGCATCATAATGGGGGAAGGAAAGGCGGTGGGGGGGGAGAGTTTCTGCCCACCGACCGCTTTGTGGAACTGCGAAACTGGGGCACCTTTTCTTTTCTTTTCTTTTTTTTCTTTTTTTCTTTTGTCTTTTTTTCCGTTTTCCTTTCTTTTGTTCCTTAATTAACCAGCTTTCTCTCGCTTTATCTGCCCTACTATCAACTCCCGCCGGAAGGATGCAGCACTGCATTACTGCACCACGGGGCACGGAGCCACTGGCAATCTGGCACTATTAACACCAACCCGGTCATCCTGTCGTGCACTAATAACTTAGTTGAATGCATCTTCACTGCGCTAACCTGAGCTCCAAATGACTTTCTATCTATCTATACAAAGAATGCATCAGCCCTGAGTTTCATGGTCTGACCTTTAAGGCTATAATAATAATTCAGTCATTCAAAATTCCCCAAGAATAGTATGAGAACTAACAACCCCACCATTTCTTCGATCTGACAGCTCACATCCACGTACTTAGTACTTACTCGGTCTCCCTTCCCCCTCTGCCACTAACCCTAAACCGCTCGGATGCATGCATCCATAGTTTTTTTTTTTAACAGGGAGATCTATCTTATCGCAGATCTTGACCGGAATTACTGGACTGTGATCCGCTCCGTGAACTGAGCCAGTAGCGAGAAGTAGTTAAGGCGTAGGATATATGATAAATTGGGGTTTCAATAGACCGGTCTGTATCTTCTTAATTCGTTATGGCTCTGGCTCGAGAGGAGCGCCGAGGAAATTCTCCGCGATGAGGAGTTGGCCGACGCTGCAGAGGAGCAAGCAGGGTGTAGTGCAGGGATTCCCCAAAATGTTGATCTCACAGCGTCATAGCCTGCAGGGCCTAAGTCTGGTATGAATACTTCAATCTATTCGTGCGGGAGACTCAAATCATCAGTAATACCAGTAGTTACTAACGCATATCTTCATCCCATCACATTTGAATAACCATATACCACAGCCCACAGCCCACAAACCCCAATCCCAGATCATAACATCAGATGGCATAGCATAGCGTAGCATCTCGCATGACATTCGAAACTAGTGAGAATAGAAGAGAAACAATGCGACACGAACACCCTCCGGACAGTAAAAAGGTAAGATAGAAAATCAGATCAGACGCAATGTTCGCCCCAAATGCCCCCGATCCCAATTCGTCCCAATGAGTTTTGCGTGGAAAGAAAAAAAAGGTTTCCTTTTTTTACTATACAGGACCCATATGACCCAGGCTGGCTGAAAAGAGAGAAAAGAGAAAAGAGAGAGAAGAATAAAGCATGGCGATCAAGACAAAGCCGCCTTGCCCTTGTAGTCAGACTCCTCGCTAGCCGTCGTCGGGGCTCGTCGTCGATCTCCCCCCAGCTGCTGGTGCTGCTGGTGCTGCTGCTGATGGTGGTGTTGTTGTTGGGTGTTGTTGTGGTTATTGTGGTGGTGGTGATGGTGGTGCCCGGTGCTACCAGCGGCCTTATCCTGGCGAGCCTGATCGATCGCCGAGCGTTGAGCGATGCTGTCGTCGTGACTCTTCCAGACGATGTTGGTGTCGGTGGGGAAGTTGAGTAGACGCTTAATGGTTTCGCTGCAGTCGATCGCGTTAGTCAAAGAATCTTGGGGATTGCGAAATGAACATACCGAATCTTGATGTTCCGTCCCCCATCGATCCGAGTCCACACATTCAGTACATCCTCCCCACTGCGCACGCTCAAGACAGCTCCGCAAACCTCGTCGCCCGCTTCCGCAAACTGATCTCCAACCATAGCCAGAAGCAGATCCTCCCAATACCGGTCCGCCACGCCTTTCTTCAACCGGACCACCCACTTGCCACCCTTCTTGTTAGCATCGTCCTCCCAGACAGGACGGATGCCCTTCTTAAAGATGTGGTAATCGGAGACAGTAGGAAGGAGCGACGGTCTCTTGAGGTGCGAGTAGACCGACCAGAAGCTCTCCACCGAGGATATCGCTGCGAGGGGGACGGTGGACTTTTCGTAATCGGAATACTTAGGTGTCGGCGGGCGGTACCAAATGACCCATGTGGACTTGAGCGGATGTTCTTTAATCGCGAATGCGGCCTTGGCTTTGGCGCTTTCCGCCGCCAGTTCCTGGTCGACAGGGTTTTCCCGTTTCTCGAACCCAGGAGTCTTGACGTCGGAAGCTCCGGGAGTCTTGGGGGCTCCGAATGACGCGAAGGCACCAGAGCCCAGGCCGAATGCGGAGGATGCGTTTGTCGAAGGGGAAGAGACGCCGCCAGATAGAGGCGACAGGGCGTTGAAAGGGTTGGATCGACCACCGTGGGAGCTATCTGGGCCAAACCGTTTCGAGGCGCGGGGAAGTTCAACTCTAGCGCCGTCCGACCCTGTCATCGACAGAGACAACTTGGAAGCGCTGCATGAGAACATTGAGTTAGTTCCGATCCAATTTCTCTCGACCTCGCCAAGCGGCCGAGGTATATCACCAAGCGCGAAGTCGGGACATACTTAGATCTGCGGGTCCAGAGGTTTGCGTTATCCATGGATGTACTAGCTACTGAGACAGCTCAGAAAAAAAACGAGCGGTCACCGGCGGAGGCAGACAGGATCGGGCGGGAGTGACGAAATAGTACAGAAGAATAGAAACCCGAGAACACGAAGAGGAGGATCGGTCAATGAGGCCAATATCGACGGAGAAGGGTGTAGGCAGGGTTTAGAAATTAGGTTCAATTAGGTTCAAACTGGGGCGAACGGAGCGGCAAGAGGGGAAGAACTTCGGTCCAAAAGAGAGAAGAGGAAGAGAAGTCAAGGAAGAATAATCGTGATCGTGATCGTGAACGTGACGAATGGGAGAATGCGGGGGGGTTAGGGATGTGATCTGTAGGATTTAGTCTGTTGTATGGGGGAGAAGGAAGATCGGAGGCGAGGGGTGGGAGGAATAGTGTGGGAAGATCGGAGAAGTGGAAGTGGAAGGGGAAGTGGAAGTGGAAGTGGAAGTGGTGGTGGTGGTGGTAGTGGTGGAAGTTGGAAGTGGAAGTGGAGTGGAAGAAATGCGGAATTGGGAATTAAACCTGCTGGAGAGGAAGAGAGAAAAGAGAGAGCGAGAGCGAGCAAAGGCAGAAAGAGAGTGAACCAAACCTGTGAAGAACCAGAACGGAAGAGAACAACGACTGCCAGTGGAACCCAAGTCAGTTTTCTGCCGTCAAGCTTCTCCCTCTCCCTCCTAACCAATCAACTCTCTGCCCCGCCGCTTTTCCGCCTCCGTGGTTTTTCCAGCTCCGTCCCTACTCTCCGTCCATATAAAATCCTCGACTTCTTCCCGTTCTCTTCACTTTCTTTTTTCTTTTCCATAACAAACCCAAGACCACCAACTCAAATCATCGCTGGTTGCACAATTGTTTGATTCTGTCGAATTCATCTACTGCACTGGCGACTCCGATGAGTGTGTCGAGAACGAGCATCAAGACCCCGCATCTAAAACCATCATCACGAGGGCTCTTCTCAGAGCTCCATGATGCGGTGATGACCTGATTGACGGGACATTCTCTTTATTTTCTTCACGTCCAAGACTGGGATTGTGGTGGATTCGGTAGTACTCGTAGTCCACTCCGCTCTATAATGCAAGAGCATCGTAGTTTTTCGAGGATCCGGTGCGTCAGTCACTTTCCTTCTGCTCAGACCTTAGGGGTGCTCTACCATGATGAAGCTCTTATATCACATACTCTGGTAATCCGAGGTGCTCAACCGCGCGAAATGGCCTCGCATGGCTATGCGCTGGTAGAGTGTGAGGTGAAAAGGCATTTCTGATTGTCGTAATTATACGTCCTGGGCGATGGTTGATGCTTGCAACGTCATGCGGTCGCTTGGTTACTGACAAGCCCCGATCATAGTGACCCTTTAAAACATAGGAGCCGACTGTTTGATGCTTGGCACTCTACAACAGTCAATCTACGAACGTTTTGATCTATAAATCAATATGAGCAGGACTCTGCCATCGGATTTGAGATACTTGTTTGAATATTCTCTATAAATGAAACAATGCAATTCGCAGGGGGAATCGAGCAGCAACCGGAGATGACTGAACAGACACAAAACTAGAACCTCTCCCCCTACTCCCCTGGAAAAATCGATAACAAATGCATGCACGCAGTGTGTTCCAATCGTGTCGCACAAGGATGATAAGAAAAATTATAATGCTACCTTGTGATTACTGGACGAGTCAACTGGCCCAACCTCTGAATCGTGAGTAGGCCTGGAAGTTTGAAGGACATTCATAAGTACAAGAATATCGAAATCATGTCATCAGCAAAGGGTCAAAGTACTTCGTAGCTACCCGAACCCAACAAATCGTTAACTAGATGCAGCAACCTAGTACTCGGCAGGCTGTGCGGAGTCTGACTGACGTTCGGAGCCAGCCTTGATGCGCTTGGCGTCCCTGTCACTTTGAGGTGCCAGAGGAGCCACCTTGCGCTTCTCTTTATCCCTCTGGTACTCTGCACGGCGTTCTTTGTCCTTCTCTCTGCGGAGGGCCTTAGACTCAAACTCGTGCCAATCACCCTCAATGTTCTCGAGCCTAGAGACTATCAGTTAGGTTTCAATATTCAATGAAGCCAAGGCACGAAGACTTACTCGATAGCTTGCTGAGGCAGTGGCTCCTCCGAGGTGAAGTATGGGTGCGCCAATATCTGACCAGTGGTTGGTCGTTTTGCAGGATCATATTGGAAGACCTGAGATATAAGATCGAGAGCTGCTGGCGAGAGGACTTCACCGTAGACCTCCTCGAAAATCCTCTTCTTCCGCTCCGTGGGGCGCATTAGCTCGAACCAAGGCATCTCAATCAAATCGGGCCATTCGGCGCGGTTCGGGGTGCCAAGGCAGTTGTATAGCTTGTCGAGTTGACTTATCTCTCCTCCTTCACCCGGGAAAACAGCCTTCTTCGTGAACATTTCAACATATACGCAAGCCG